AAAGAAGAAGAGAGAGAGTGTGTGTGTGTGTGTGTGTGTGTGTGTGTGTGTGTGTGTGTGTGTGTGTGTGTGTGTGTGGGTGTGGGTGTGCGGGGGAGGAGGACAAGGGAACACTAATAGGTGGAAGCATGAGTGCGCGTGCACGCGTGATTTGTCTTTGTTCATGTGTTTGTGCAATCACGGGCATGATACACCGAGGGACAAGGAGGGACAGGGCCGGCGTGAGCTTACGAGTTGGCTTGGTTGCAAGTGCTTGAAGTTTCGAGTGATGGTGGTGCTGATGATGGTTCGAAGGGCAGGGACTGTGGACCACGCGGCGTCAAGCACTATGATGATGGAGAGCAGAGGGAGCAGCAGCAGTTGACGGGAATGCAGGCATCAGCTGTGACGTTGGTTGGTTGTGCCCACACTTGCGAGCAGGTTGCTCGGCACACGGGCAGAATTACGGCTTATCGCACATGTACGGGCGTATACATGACGTCTCATGCACATTCACTTGTATACACCGGTGCACACACACGCACACACATGCACACGCACACACACGCACACACTCACACACACATGCACACGCACACACACGCACACACTCACACACACACATGCACATGCACACACATCCACACATTGAGCCTATTGTGCTTCTGACCTTTGGCGTTGAGGGCGCACAGGCAGAGGATGACGACCAGTGCCTGCTGGTACGCCGTTGCGACCACGAGCGGTGGCGGTGCAAAGTTGGGCGGGAGAGACACGTTGAAGCGGAGCGTGTACACGGAGAGACGAAGAATGGCGTGGATGAGACTTTCCGCATCGGGAACGTCGACCGGAAGCCCAAAGTGCACGTGGAATGTTGTGGTGCTCCCGACAATGCGGTACAGAATGTCGAGCGCATCTATTGCCCGAATTTTTTTTTTTTTGGGGGGGGGGGGGGTGATGGGTTGAGGATGAGTCGAGTGAGGGCGCGGGAAGACCAGCAGGACGACAGGGCGCACATGAACGCACTGTGGATGGGCGACAAGGGCCGAGAGGCGGGCCGTCGCGCACCCACAACCGCATGGCCACAATTGCGTAGCCACACACACTCACACACACAAACACACACCCACACCCACACCCACACACACACACACACACACACACACACACATACACATGTACACATGTACACACATCACACACGCACACACATACACACCAACGCACCGCTGCCGGGGAGGTCTGGCCGTTTGGTTGCGAGTGCGACGATGGTGGGGACGACGTGTGCTGGCAGGGGATGGTGGCGAGCAGCGAGCTCGTACCCGGCAAACTCCTGCGGCGATGCATCGGCCACGTTGCGCCCGAGAAACGACTTGGCGTCCGTGAGAAAGAACAGGCGGCGCAGCTGATACGCAATGTAGCCCGTTGGCGTCTCCCGCAGATGCGTGTCGAGCATGTGTACGAGCCACAGCAACCCTGCCTCCTGCGCGGCGGCGACGCGACGCTTGACAGCGCGCGCTGCACCATCAAGTGTGGCCGATGCGCGGGCGGACGGCGCCGGTGCGCTGCTGCTGTCCTCGTCAGTGATCATGCGATCGGAGGAAGCCTGACGCGCGTTGTGGTTGTGGTCGTGGTCGTCGTCGTTATCATCGGGCGCTGTTGCCATGAAAGGCTGATCGCATGCGCGTGAAAACGCAAGAACGGCCGTTGCCATTGCATGGGTCGGTACGGCGCAGGCCAGCACCTGTGCGTACACTTCGAGCACGTGCGTCACGTATGACACCAGTTGTTTGTGTGGCATGGAGCCCAAATTGCACGCCCTGGACGCCTTGAGCAAGTGTTCGCACAGCGCCGGCGCACTGAAGCCTTCAATCAACGATAGCTGCAGTGTACAGTTGCATGTGTGTGTGTGTGTCGGGGGGAGGTGAGATTGAATACGCATGTGTGAGTGAGTGAGTGAGTGAGTGAGTGAGTGAGTGAGTGAGTGAGTGAATGAGTGAGTGAGTGAGTGAGTGAGTGAGTGAGTGAGTGTGTGTGTGTGTGTGCGAGTGCATGCACTTGCGTGGAAACACGTGAAGCGACGACAGATGATAAAGAGTGCGCCAAGCGATACTTTGCTAGGCTAGCTCCAAATCCACAAACAACCCCAAGCCCGCTTCAACCATGCGCCCACGACCATGGCAATGTGCCCACGTACCCTGCGCACGAAGGCACGGAGTTTGTTGCGAGGATCTGGTGCAGAGATGAGAGTCTTGTGCATCATGTCTGCAGCCTGCTGCATGAGGGACGCGTTGGCCTTCTCAAACCCAATCTTGATGGCTGCGTTGTCCTGTGCACACACATACGCACGCACGCACACGCACCACACATACACGCACACGCACCACACACACACGCACGCACGCACACGCACCACACATACACGCACACGCACCACACACACACACACACACACACGCACACATGGAAAAGGAGGAGCAGAGGGCATGAAGGGGTGAGGAGGGCAAAGCGAAATTGCGCAAAGGCCTATGGTGACGCGGCCGTGCATAATCAGTCGCATTCATGCATGCGTTGATGGTGGTTGTTGGCACCCCATGTTGGCTGGCTGGCGTGTGTTGGTGTACTGCTGTCAGGTCCGCTGCGAGCTGCATGCTCTCACCTGAAGCGTTCCCTTCCCATCAAACTCGCGTGCAAGCGCCGTTTGCGCCCGTTGCGTCAGCTTCGCCACATTGCGGTTCGTTTCAGCCAGCAGCGCGCTCACAAACACCTGGCGGGGAATGTGGATGTGGTGTTGATTGAATTGGATTGGCATGGAGTTGGGTTGGTTGGTTGGGGGGAGGGGAGTCTCAGGTGGATGACAGCATGCACCGCGAGGGCACAGCGCGGTTGCACATCCTCTATGCACAAACACAGACATATGCACGAACACAGACATGTCCACATGCACACGCATACGCATACGCACACGCATGGCGATTAAACACAACACATTGACGCAACAGGTGGCACCACACAGCAGAGCACACGCGCTCACGTCGACAAGGTTGTGTGTTGCGGCGCTGACGACGGGTGTGTTTGGCAGTTTGAGCATCAAGATCGGGCGCAGGACGGACTTGTCGTTGGAGGACACAATAGTCTTCATCACCGATATGAGATCGCGTAACTGGTTGCTCGTGCCGGCGTTTGAACCAAGCCACGCCTACCATGTGCAGCAGTCACGATGGTTAGGACGGTCACGATGGTGATGTTGGTGATGTTGGTGATGGTGTGAGCTGGGGGAGGGCAGTACCACAACGAACCACCAAGTGCGCGTTCGCAGCAGGTACACAACAGACACATGCATGCGCAAAGCATCACGTGTGCGACTCCTGCTGACCTGGAATTGCTTCGCAGCAGCAGCAGCAACACCGGGCACGTTGGCCAGCACTTTCATGGCGGCTGCAAGAGATGATGGCTTGACGGCAGCCGGTTTCAGGTGGTTCACAGCCTCAACGCACAGCTGCGACACTTGCTTCTCAACTACCACAACGCCGTTTGTGTGTGTGTGTGTGTGTGTGTGTGTGTGTGTGTGTGTGTGTGTGTGTGTGTGTGTGTGTGTGTGTGTGTGTGTCGACAATAATGAGAACAAATAGGAGGGCGTTGAAAAGGGGGTTAGGAAGTGCAGACACCGCACATTGTGCGCATGTGTATGTGTGTGTGTGTCTGTGTGTTGTATTGAACTCACGTCCAACGAAGCGGGGTTGCTGCAGCGGGGTTTCCGGCAGCGGCGACACCTGGTGAGCCGCAGGGCGATGCGACGACGTTGAGTGGCTCGAAGAAACAAAGCAAGCAACGCGTGCACCGTCACGCGCTTCCCAAATATCATGCTGACGTACAAGCACACCTTGAATGCCGTCTCGATCTGTCGAATAAATGCTGTGATGAGCGGATTCTCGATCCACTCCCGTCTGGACAGCGCGTCCTCCACATACAGCTGATGCAATGCACGCAAAGTCCAAGGTGAGCAAACACAAGACATGCACGAAACTGCATACCCCAAACGCGCACAAGCCAAACCAGAACAAATCAAAATAATTACACACGCATGCATCACACACATATGCATCCCACACATGCATCACACACACGCGCGCACACACCACACGCAGGGGTGGCTTACTGCGACGAGGTCGAGGGGCCACGTCTTCGCGCCACTGAGTCCCACCAGGAGCAGCCGACCAGCAACAGCACGCACCTGCACACGCAAGCAATGTTCGATCATCATACTTCAAACAGTAACAAGAGCGCAGGGCACGACGACAACTCACAATCATTCCTGGTCACATCGACACGTGGTTATGCTACAGCAGAAGAGCTGGGCTTGCCACAAGGGTTGCGGTGCAGACACACGAGACAGAACCAAGGGACCCGGGCCTCACCATGGTTGCACGATCGGCGCTGGGCCACTGCATGTGTGCTCGAAACATGGCCATCAGCACGGACAACACTCTTCAGGTGATGGAAAACAAAGCGAGGCGAATAGGGCATGTTGGTGATTGTCAGTGGTAAGGCTGCCGCAACCCCAAGTCAAACTGGTTGTGCTGAAAACAAACTGGCACGTGCAGCGCAGCACAAATACATTGGGGTGCACACAAACACAAGCGTGTCGCATGAACGCACTTTGTATTGCTGAAGATGGTTGGAGACTGCTTGGCGAGCAGAAGCAGCGTGACGCAGACCGTCGTCGGGTCATTCTGGGCCTTAATGGCATGCGCTGTCGAAAGGGCGCAAGGATGAATACAAGCCAAGCGTCAGGTCGTGATGGTGATGCCGACGATGGTGCTGATGACGATGTTGATGTCGATGACAGGGGAAACTGCGCCGAATGTTCTTTCCAGCTACACAAGAAGCAGGGCGTTCAGACGAAACAACGCGACATACGGCCCTAGCTCAGTGTGCAGTGATGCCGCGCTCTGCATTGACGTACCAAGAGCAGCGTGGATTAGCTCCGACACGCGGTCCTGAGCATGTGCTGCTTCGTGGTC